GGTGTGGGGGAACTGATTGTAAACGAAAAAACAACAAACTCTTACGTCAAATCACTTGATGTTACTAAATTCAGTTCAATCAGAACGAAAGAATACACGTAATATAACCATAGAATATTGTTCTATGTTCTATGGTACAACTGAAAATACTGAAATACTGAAAACAACTCAGATCAAACAAAAAAAAAGAAATGTCTTGAGGTGTAAAATATATTATTCCTAAAAATTAATGGGTTATATTTTTATTTTGTGTTACCCATTTTAGTGTGCATTTATACATATACATATTTTAATATGGTAAAACGTGCTGAATTAGTCTCCACCGAAATATTTTCAACATCTTTTTCTAGGTTAAACCCAAAGCTAGTAGCACTCCAAAAATTGTGGATATTAGCCATCGTCGTCCTATTGGAGATGTAAATAATGATTCTATTCAAAGCCCTATTGTTAGTTATACATATGAACATGTGGTAAAAAAAAAAACTTTTGAATCAAATTCAGAGGAAGATTATGATGATTTTGTCGACTCTAATGATGAAACTGATAACCGCACTGAAGAAAGAACAACAAATACTGCATTTTGTAACTGTGTCGGTTCACCTTTTATTTTAATCACAATTGTAATCATTCTTCTAGGAGTTTTTCTATATATTATTCCTGAAGAACAAAATCGAGTAAGTGCAAGTCCATCTATAGAAATATTGTCGCAAGAATTTCCCTCCCAAGAAGAAGATTTTTGGATATACATCAAAGAGGGTATTCAGGATATAAAAAAGTTTCATAAACCTAGAACATTTCTACTTCTTTATAATAATGAAGGCCAAGAAACGTTGAAGAAAATATTAACCAGTATTATAAAGTATGCTACTTGTAGCTTAACAAATTGTACAGCATCACCAGTAATTCTGAAAGCAAGTGACCTGAATGACCCTAACATTTTAGAAGATTATGGTAATATTATCACAAGAAACAAAGTAAAATTGGAAGAAAGTGGAGTTATGATAGTGAAAAATTTAGAGAAAGTACCTGGCATATCAGCTCAAGCATTTCATTCTTTTTGTGATGAATTTAACCCAGTTGTCAATAAAGCCTTATTTATTTTTACTATGAAAGTTGACAAATTTCATGATAATGATTACAAATATGTGGAAAAGTATTTATATGACCATTGGAAAGATATAGATGAAGATAATTTTTATCCCCTCTTTACAAGAATAGTGAATGTTATTCTTCGTATCATGGTTGAAAAATAAATATAGTTTAGTTTTACTAATAGTGAAGCAACAACAAAATTTTCCATTTTGATAGCGAGGTTACTTCATAAATTTTCAATGAACCAAGTCCAAGTATATTTCTGCAGTTATCTTCCAATAAAAGAAATTTTAGTAAATTTGTTGCTACCGCAGTTAAAGTGTTGAGGAGAGACAAAATAAATATTTTCCAAAAACAATGTGGCATTTTCCAGATGTTCATTAATCGATGAAAATTTGCAGTGTATATTATATAAAATATAAGTGTACATTTTAATAATGTATTACATATGTTCAATGTTATTTATTGTTTCTTTAATGTAATCTGTAATAGTCTCAACTACGCAAACTCGAACAGCAAACACCAAAAAATCGGCTGGTGTTTTGTGGGTCAGGGGGAAAAGCAAAATAGAGTACTTTGTTTATAGTTAGCTAAAAATGTAAATAATTTTGAATCAAGTACCGAAGATGATGATTTGATCAAATTTAATGATGAAACTGATAACGGCACTAAAAAAAGAATAGCAAATACTACATTTTCTATCTGTATTAGTTCACCTTTTGTTGTATTGCCAGCTGTGATCTTAGTCATAGGAGTTGATGTATATATTCATGAAAAACAAAATCAAATAATTGCTATTCCATCTAGAAATGTTATCGCAAAAATTTTCCTCAAGAAGATTTGGATATACGAGTGTATTCAGGATATAAAAAAGTTTCATAAACCTAGAACATTTCTAATTCTTTATAATAATGAAGGCGAAGAAATGTTGAAGAAAATAGTAAATTGGCATTGTAAAATTATGCTACTTGTAGCTTAACAAATTGTACAGGATTTGACAGTAATTCTGAAATCAACTGACCTGAATGACCCCACCATTTTAGAAGATTATGGTAATACTATCACAAGGAACAAAGTAGAATTGGAAGAAAGTGGAGTTATAAAGTACTTGGCATCAGGAATCTGCAATTTTAGAGAGGGTAGCTTTAAAAAGCTCCAGCACTTAGTCCCCATTAAGCACCTTGTACTTTCTCCCATTAGGAGCCGCTAACCAACCTATTACAGAGAAAAAGAAGGCCAATGTTCTCTCAACACGAATTCTCTTGTTGACGAGATGGAAATACCTAGCATATCAGCTCAAGCATTTAATTCTCTTTGTGATAAATATAATCCAGTCAATAAAGCCTTTTTTATTTTTACTATGAAAGTTGGCGATTTTTATGATAATTATTATAAATACATATGTAGGAAAGTATTGTATGCCCATTCAAAGATATAGATGAAGATAAATTTTATCCCCTCTTTGCAAGAATACTATAGTCTGTTTGGAAATGAAAGAGAGTAATAA